ACCTTCTCTTTTTTGTGAATTTTTTTTATTAATTTCAATTTTATTTATTTAATTAATTCAAATAAAATAAAATTGGGCTTTAAAGTTTAACTTGGACTTGGAATTGGACTTTGGACTTCTGTTAGGCTTTTAAGTCCAAGTGACTCAAAATTGAATTGGATTGGGCTTTGGCCATGCAAAATAATTCAAAAGTAAAGAGTAATCTGAAACAAAGCCCTATCACGTTCAATCAAATAAATCCAATTAAAATGCTTAAGTTAGTCCAAATCGAAATCTTTAAACCAAGCATAAAAATCAAACAAACTCCAATTGTCTCAAATAAAATTAAATGTCTACAAGTACAATTTATTTATATTCTTCAATCAAGTACTATAAGCTTTTAAACCCATCTCCAAGCATTTTATTTTAAGAATGACTAAGTCAACTATTTATATTTACATAAAAATAGAATATGTAAATAGAAAAGTCTTTATTCTTGAAAAAGTTAAAAAAGGCAACCTTTTTATAAACTAATTTTCAGACCAATATATAAAATTAATTTACACATGTAGCAAAAGCAAATGAATAAAAATTAAAAGCAAGGCACATAAAACAATAATATGATAAAAAGTTTTTGTAAAATTATACATGGAACAAAAAAGGATACGATTAATCAACTTTATTATGAAGCATAAATAAACTTCAATCATTTTTAAGCATAAGCAAAGAGAAAACATATATTGAATTCATTACATATCTTTAACAAAAATAAAAAAAAACAAAAACAATAACTTGCAAACATAATTGTTTTTACAATGTGCCATTAATCTTCCAAACTTCATATGTGTACATCACTATAAAAGAATCATCCTAATCACAAATGATCAATGGTAAAACAGACATAACAAATTATATTGGGAGATAAACAACCAAATCCATAATATAAATCCTACAGTTAAATAAGCAATACTGTTGCGACACGTTCGTTCCATTTTTTTTTTACTCTTTTAATGTTTCATAATTTTTTTTTCATTAGAGCCACTTTTAATTCTAAAAGTGGCATTTAGCTTCCTTTGGATTTTAGAAACAGTTCTTACGATGTATCATTTAGCTTTTACCCAATTGGTGACTACTTAATACCATTTGTGGATATCTATATTTAAATTACGAGGTATTATCTATTTTAATCCGAAAGTCTCATAGTTTTATCTTATAAAAGGCACCTTCAAATATGGGTTTAAGTCTCTTATTATATATTATAGTAAATCCTCAAAATATCTCGATGCAAGATTGGAGTGTCACAAACTTTTCTATTAAAACTTGACATCCCCATCAAACCTAACACAAAGTACATATAGAATCACAAAACTAGGATTACACCAGACGTTAGGATTTTAAAGGTGACTTCCACTGTATAACATTTAGCTTTATCTAGATTCTAAAAGTACGATTTGTAGAGATCATAAATACTCTTTATTAATTTGAATTTTATTGAAATTTCATAAACTTAAATTAAAATTGAACTAAATGCAACAAAATCAAATGAAAGATTATACTACAAATATTAATGAGATGAACTAAATCAATATCCATACTTTTGTATTGTATATAATATATGAAGAAAGAAAAGAAAAGAAAATATATATAGTATATAAATATATTAAATATTAAACATATAAATAAATTAAACCAAAAAATGTTCTTTTTTTTTCTTGATTTATTCTACAAAAGATTTAACTCCTTTAATTTTATTCCTAATTGAAATTTTTTATGACATAATAAACAAATCATTGCCCTTTGGAAAGAACTTACGAGGTATTATTTACTTTGACTTAAAGATCTCACAACTTTATTTTACAAAAGATGCCTCATAAATATGAGTTTAAGTTTCTACTTATATAACATAGCAAATCCTCAAAATAATTCGACGTGAGATTGGGGTATTACACTAATTTTATATTATTGATCAAAAATATTTTTATCTTTTTTGTACTTTTTGGTAATAATAGATCATTTTATATAAAAAAAGATATTAATAGAGGTGTCAACATGGTTTCTAGATTTTAATTTTTTTAGTTCTTGGGTAGAAAAAAGGATATTAAAAAATTATATTTTTAATCAATAATATCAAATTAACCTTATAAAAAAAATATGACAACAAAATTTATTAAATATAAAAAAGAAAAAGTAAATTAAGAAAAAAAATATATAAATCAATGATATAAATTTTGCACAAAAAAAAAAAAACTCATTATTACTATGTTGCGTGGCAACTCAACTTTCTTCTCTTTTTATTTTTTACTTGTTTGCCCTTTTTTTTATTGGTTCATCCTTTTTTTTAACTTTTTAAAAAAAATTTCTTTCTTTAATTTTTTTAATTAGATAAATTTTTTTAAAAAGTCAATGTATATGTACATGATGCACACTATTTCACTTTCTTTACCTTTTTGAATTTTTTAAAATTTTTTAATAAGATAATTTATAACAAAAAATAATTGATAAATAATTTTTTTTTAAAAAATATTGATAGAGGTATGGATAACAAAATAACTTGTATCCAATAGGCTTCGATTTGTTTGGATCCGATGGTATGTTTTTCAATTTGAGATCAAATCAATACTTTTCCCTAAAAAAAAAAAGTCGAGTCGAAAGTGGGTTTATACTATTTCGTCTTGCTTTAACTATATATATTTAATTATATATATATTATATTGATAAAGTTATTATTTAATATCTTAATTTAATAAAAATAGTATATTTATATATACTGAAGATGTAATCCATCAATCCATCTATTATATAAATTTGACTCATTTTAACTTTTGCTTGACCTTTATGCAAGATCTGACATATCACCTTATGGTTTTTTTCTTTTTTTGTTTTACAATCATTTTTAAAATTACATAAATTTTATGAAAAAAAAAATATAGGTGTTCACGTGGTATCTTAATTTATTTTTTTTTAAATTAGATAAATTTTACAATAAAATAGTCAATGGATAGCAATGGCAAAACAATTTGTATCTAATAGGTCCCAACTCAATTGGGATGTCTACGTAGTACGCAATAAGCTTTCTTTTCCCTTTTTGCATTTTAAAATTTTTTCTCTTTTTAATTAAAGTCATCATGTGAAAAAACATACCAATGGATGTATCCACATGGTATTTTATTTGGGTTTTGTTCCTTTTCAATTTTTTAATTAGATAAATTTAGTAGTGAAAGGTGTCAACCAATAAAGATGTTAAAACAATCTGCATTCGATAGGTTTCGATTCATCTTGATTTGATAAAGAACAATATTTTAATCAAAATTAAGTCGAAATGGGTCGACTATTTTAAAAAAAAAAGTCGAGGTTGGAAGCATATTTAAGATGTTTTATCCTCGTCTATTTTAAGGTATATAAAAAATTTTAAAAGTATATATTTATTATTTATTTTGTTATATATATTATATTAATAAAGTAATATTTTATTTTAATTTAAGAAATTAATATTTTAATGTCAATATGGGATGTTAATATCACATCCTCTATGAGTTTTCTTTTTTCATTTTTTGTCATTTATCATTTTTTTCATTTTTTCCATTTATTTTTTATTAGATTAATTTTATGAGAAAAAAAGGCTAATTAAAATATTCACATTTAATTCCCATTTGTTTTTATTTTTCATATTTTTTATTTTTTAATTAGATAAATTTAAAAAAAAATGGTTAAATAGAGGTAGTAAAATAAAAAATTTTAACTTACGACAATGTGCAAGGTTTTTTTTTAATTCAAATAAATCAAACCGAAATTTTGAAAAAAAATCATTGTTTTCTATTTATATTTATACCTATTTTTATAATCTATAATATATAAAAGTATAACTAGAAAAACTTTCAAAATGATGGAAATGCTTATTTGTTATTGATTATGTATTTAAATTATCATTGTAAATATTTTTATTGTTACATATTCACAATATTTTCAAATTTTCATGCGAATATGCTTATTATTATTTACTATATTTCTAAATTACCGTTATGCATTTTAAATTATAATTTTGTACGAATATTTGGTCGGACCTAATTTTTTCATTTCGTATGAATATTTATTTGTATATGATTTTGTGATCATCAAAATTTGACTTTTCGATTATTGTTTCTTGATATTAACTTAGGGTTTTTATTCTCCTTTATAAGACAATTAAAATTATACACAAAACGTTGCTTAAGTAGAGAGAGATTTAGATTTAAAGTCGAAGTTCAAAGCCTAAATTAAAAGAAATCATGATATAAAAGTTTTCATTATTTAATTAAGTTGAGAATAGAGATTTTTTCTTGACAATTCTATTGTTATGGTTAAGAATGACAACGAGTTGAGTTGGGACACATTTTTATTCACTTCGAATCTGACCCAATTTTATAATCAAAAAATTCAAATTCGAACTTAACTCGAATTTTTTTTAATTTTTTTATACTTGAATTGACCCGATATTATATAAATTGTATTCGACCCGACTCGACTTGAAATTAATAAAATATTATTTTTTAAATATAAATATGTATTTATATAATTATATATAAATAAAAAATAAAAAATAATTTTTAATATAATATCGGGTCGGGTCGGGTTTGTATAAAACTCGAACTTGACCCGAACCCGATTTTCTTTTAATAATATCAAATTCGATCCAACCTGAAACTTAGATTTAAAAAAAAAAATTGATCTTATGTGATCGGATCGGGTCGAAATCAGTTGAGCTTGAGTTGAGCTACTAACCCTAATTATGATATTGGAGCGTGTTTAATTTTACGTAAGATCTAAGTTTCATGATTAATTTTACACAACCTTAAATTAAAAATCCTAACTTTTGAATAGTAAAGTATATAAATAATAATTTAAATTTGAACTTAAAAAATATCCCGTAAAGATGAATTAGAATAAATTGAGTTGAAATTTTAAAGTGAAATTGAAAATTATGGGATTAATATATAGGAAAAGAGGATTTTAGGAACGGCGACCACTGCAGTTCCGTCAAGTTCATTGTTTGTATTTTAAAACGCAAAAATACTACAGCGAAGAAATACGAATGCAATGAAATGAAAATGTTAGTCAGAGACACGTGGTTTGTTCCCTTTCCAATTTAGACAGCATGGACAACAAGCAAAAAGCAAAGTCAGTGACGTTATCAATTTGGGGAGAACAACAACAACAACAAATTAATTAATCCAATCTTTGAGATGCAAAAAGAAAGCTCGTGGTCTGTTGTATGGTTGATTCGTCAAAATCCCCAAGAATATTACAACTCAGATTCGATCTCTTTTTCATTCATTCCTTCATTACACAACGTTTGACCCTATTCTCTTCATCCATGGCTTCTCTGAATTTCACTCCGGTTCGTTACAACAACAGGAACTCGGCTGCTGACTTTGCTGTCGCTCGCCATGCTCGTCCGAGTATGACTGGGCCCTCTCGAGTTGGGTTCAAGGTTTTTGCTTCAGTTTCTCAAGCTGAGCCAGATTTGAGTGTGTCTGTGAATGGGCTCAAAATGCCCAATCCGTTTGTGATCGGGTCGGGTCCTCCCGGCACCAATTACACCGTCATGAAGAGAGCCTTTGATGAAGGCTGGGGCGCTGTGATTGCCAAAACTGTAAGTTCCTTGTGTTTTTTGGGTGGTTGATATGGTGGTTTTAGTTTGTTATATAAATAAAGTTGTTATTTAGATCATACTTTCTTACGGTTTCTCAGCAATCACTCAGACTGTAGGGTTTAATGGAAAAAGAGAAATCTAATTGTCTTTGTAACATAGTATTTGACGATAGAATCAAGAAACTGATAAGGGCAGCGATTCACATTCTTCTTTTCCTACAAAACAAAACGACTTCCCAAACAAAACTACTTCCCATTTCAATAAAACTTTCCTGAGAAAATTGCTTAAAAAAGACAAAAGGTATCTTGACATACTGTTGCTTTTGTACCACATTTTTACTTATGTTAATTAAATAGATGTTTATCTTATAACTTTTGGACCACATTGGATGAGTGTCAGTTGGGCTGGCTTGCATATCTTTCTCTTTTCCCCTTAGCTATCTCGCACGTTTGACCTTAGTCTTTTTGTTGGAGCTCCCTCAACTTGCTATTTTTGATAAATACGATTTTGGGCTACACAATTTGAGCAAGTCTTTTCCTATCTCATAAAATACCATCCTGCTCATCTCTGGATTCCAACCTGAGATCTCCAAGTTTTAATGGCTGAGCTCCTGAGATTTACCCTTGGGAACTTATTTGCTAGTACTAGATATAATATGGAAACTGAAATGCTATTCAATGTTGTATTGACAACCTTGTTTTTAGGCATTTTTACCTGTTCCCCCTTTCTCTTATACATCTGGAATATGCCAGTCATGGACATTTGTGTACTAAACGTTGAATCTTTGATATCACATTATTCTGCTAGGTGTCACTAGATGCTGCCAAAGTTATTAATGTAACTCCAAGGTATGCCCGGCTACAAGCAGGAGCAAATGGCTCAGCCAAGGGACAAATAATTGGGTGGGAGAACATTGAACTCATCAGTGATCGCCCTCTTGAAACTATGTTAAAAGAATTTAAGCAACTGAAAGAAGAGTATCCAGATAGGATTCTTATTGCCTCCATTATGGAAGAATATGACAAAGCTGCCTGGGAAGAACTTATTGATCGAGTTGAGCAAACTGGGATTGTAAGCTCTATTCTTCACTTAGATTCTATGTTTGTTTATATCTCTCATGTTTAAAAGAATTAGTCATCTAATTATCTTGTTTCTAGGATGCCATAGAAATTAATTTCTCATGCCCTCATGGCATGCCTGAGCGTAAAATGGGTGCAGCAGTTGGGCAAGATTGTGCGCTGTTGGATGAAGTTTGTGGATGGATAAATGCAAAAGCGACTGTTCCTGTATGGGCAAAGATGACACCTAACATCACTGACATCACAATGGTGTGTTTACTTTCTTTTTCAATTGTGTCACTTTTTATGTAGAACTTACTTTCAAATTCTGATGTTTAGTAGCATTTGAAGAACATAGCATCTTATGTTTTCGAAGCTTGTTTAACCTTATCATGGATTAAGCATCTGAGATGCTTATTTGGGAACCTATATTTTTGGCCTTTATGACATCTTGTCTCTATCTGGTCTGCTTGGACTTTATGCCATGGTTCATAACAATTTCTGTTAGTTGAAACATTTATGTGTAAGACTAACTTTTAAATTTTGTATCATGCATGAAAGTGTTCTGTATTTGGCTCCCAGGGATAAAATGTCCATATTTCAAAACTCATGGCATTTTGTTATTTTGGTAAGTTGAGCCACCATTAATCACCATTTTCATCAACAGAGTAGTTTCTGAAAAATCACTATAAATTTTCTCATCTATAAAAGGAGGAAGAGATTTAAGCCTTAATTTCCAGCTATAAGCAGAATTTTCATTGAGGATAAAAAAAATGCAACAGTCTGTTTCTTCCATTTGCTTGCATAAATTATTGTTCAAGATAAATGGAAGTGGACATCATTTGTTGTTTCTATAGATTGGAGATATTGAGAATCAATGACAAAAAAGATAACAGATTGAAAACCTATTCATTGTTGTTTTTATTGAATAATTTTTCCATGATTATGAAAAGGGAGATGAACCACTAAATGGAATTTTACCCCTGCCAGGAAAAAATTATTTTTAATGCTATTTTCCTGAATTTATATTAAGCTAGATTTATCCTTGCGGTTGAAAATTCTACCAATCAAATTGCTAGTTTAGCTTTGAGTTCTATTTGATTCTTTGGAACAATTTTTACCATTAAAAAAGGGGGGTTGAAACATTATTGTTTGGAATTCCCATTAGAATGAAAGCAATAGAAATATATCCTTACTTTTTCCTTCTTTCAAAATTCCTATTTTTCCTGAGTCATGATAATATTGATTTACTGCTGATAAGTGATATTATCCTCCTATTTTATGTTTTTAGCCAGCAAGGGTGGCTTTAAGTTCAGGATGTGAGGGGGTATCTGCCATTAATACAATCATGAGTGTGATGGGAATCAATCTTGATACTTTACGTCCAGAGCCCTGTGTTGAGGGGTTTGTATTCTCAAATTTAACAAATTTCTGTTTTCCACTGGCTCAGAATTCATCCCAGAAGATTTTATGCACTTAAATTTTTGTTCACAGCTACTCAACTCCTGGGGGTTATTCTGGCAAAGCAGTCCATCCTATTGCACTTGCAAAAGTAATGAGCATTGCAAAAATGATAAATTCGGAATTTAATGACAAGGAGTACTCACTTTCTGCCATTGGGGGTGTTGAGACAGGGGGTGATGCTGCTGAGTTTATTCTTCTTGGAGCATATACTGTCCAGGTAGCATCTGGAAGATAATTCTTAAAATTAGTTTTATGCTATAATGTCACTATTGTCTCTTCTTACCTCTGGATGAATTAGTCTCCTCCTTTGAATGATATGTCTTGGCATTAAATTACAAACTCCAAAGTTATAATCTGCCATTCAAATTTGTGTAATGCATATTCACATACTGTTTTCTTTGTAATGTATCACATAATACTTGATTTAGATTTCATGATAGAGGAGTTCCTTTGGTGTCATACCCACCCTTTTTTTACACTAAGCTGATATACATGGTTGTTAATCTGCTCTTTATTTACTCAGGAATGGCTTTATTTTATACAAGAATTGTTTGGTGAAGCAACACTATAGAATGGATTGACAGTCGTCTTAATATGCATGATATCAGCTTGTTAGAATTACCATTATAATCTCGTAGGTCATATCTTTTCTGTCAGGATGGGAGCATATAATATTTCAGACCTTGAATTTTGAGATGCTTTCCTGCCCTCCTTTTCCCAACAACCAATTGACACTGTAACAATGTGGAGAAAATTGTTTCCCGTGATGTTGGGTTTCTAAAATGGTTTAATACAGTGCTGTATTAACCTTCTTCTCTATGACTATGAGTTGCAATTGAAACTAGTACTCATAGATTGTGAATTTCTTTATCAGGCCATATTTTCTGATTTTTTAGAATGAGTACATCATAATTTATTTTTGAAGTAGATGATTTTGAGATTCGGGCCATATTTTCATGCCCAAAGCAGAAGGTAAATGGTACATTTTTATTTTATTGGTTTGAGGTTGGCGTACCCAGGGGGGGAGGGGGCAATGTTGGTATGACTGTGAGGAAGCAATCGCTGATTTGATGTAAATGTCTCCTATTTCTTGCTTTTGTCAAGCTACGCTTTGATAAACGATTAGTGCAAAAAATTGGTAACATTGTGGTAAACACTTCATATGACTAAATGAATATAATCACCCAATGTGAACTAGCCCAAACTTGTTTCTTTTTTCTTCAATAATAACTAGCCTAAAATTGTTGAGGACATTAAGTTTGGTGGAATGTTATGTAGTGGCACAGAAGTACTCTTGAAATCTTACTATATATTTTTTCTTAGCCTTTAACCTGCCAATTGTAGTGATAGTTTGACAGTTATTCTTAAGTTATGCATGAATATGATTTGCCGAGAGCAGAAGTTACTTAGTTGTCAGCCATCTTTGAGCCCATATTTTGTTTTGCGTCCTTATTTTATGAATTAGTGAATTTCTTAATCAATTTCTATATAGGTTTTAAGCTTGCATCATCACCTATGCTTGTAGGTCTGTACAGGTGTTATGATGCATGGCTATGGCCTTGTGAAGAAACTCTCTGCGCAGCTCAAGGATTTTATGAAGAAGCATGATTTCTCATCTATAGAAGATTTCAGAGGGTATGTGCTTTATATCTTACAATGGCAATTGCACATAATCTTTTTTTGTTATTTAATCTCGTTTCTTGGATGGTGGCTCAGGGCATCCCTTCAATATTTTACAACTCATACGGATTTAGTGCGAAGGCAGCAAGAAGCAATTCAAGAGAGGAAAGCCGTTAAGAAAGGTTTGCAGTCTGACAAAGATTGGACAGGAGATGGCTTCGTGAAAGAGACTGAGAGCATGGTTTCTAACTAATTGGACTGCCAAAGGAAAGCCTTCTCTGTCTATTGTATGATTCTAAATAAATGGGTTTTTAGTTGTATGTGGTTGAGAGATGTCTTTCTTGTTCTTTGCATCTCAGAAAGGGTTAATCGTACGAATGATTGAAGGTGCTGATGTAATAAACCAAAAGACAAGTTGTTAATAAGGAAGTGCAGCTGTTTCATGTAGCATGTTCAAGTCCATTACAGTATATGGAGTTAATTACGCATTTAACCTCATAGGAAATATGTTACTGAAGTGATTTCAACCAAGATGAGTAATCTCTTTTTTCTAGAGGGTTAATATAATAATAGTATGTAATTTAGCGCTCGAACCGTACCACTGGTTGATTCGGTACTTAATAGAAAAAATATTCACGATTTGGTATAGCTTACTGATATCATGGAGTTAAAGTTACATTTGGCAAAAACATATAATTCTTTTAAGTATCAAACATGTCATAGTATTGACATTGTTGCCCATTACATAATCCTCCAAATGATACCAATTAACTAGGTAGAGGGCAATATAAGGGCAAATCATTCCTATATATACGCAACAAGGGAACAAGAACGAACTTTACATCAAGAGTAACTTCATTGCGTGCATGGTTCATTACATGCTCTGAAGATGAAGCAACGACAAGTAGAAAAAATCCGCTTTAGGTTTATGAAATGAAATGTTTTCGATAGAGTATTAAATTGAGTTTATAGACTTATTATTATTATTATTATCTCCTCTTGAAGTTATTACTCCTGTTACACTTGATTTTTTTTTTTTAAAAAAAATTTTAACTTTTGATCTCAATTATTTTAAATATTTTAATTAATTAAAAGCATATATTTAAAAATCAATTCATTCAAAATTTTTAAAATAATTTTTTTCATAATTTTATCAATAGTAATTATAAAATAATAGAAGTCAAAGTTGAAATAAATTTAGTAACAAAAAATAAAAAAAATGACAATTTTACTGAAATGAAAAGAATATTAAAAATTTTTAAATGTCTGTAATTTAACTCACAAGTTATTAAGACCCATAAATTTTTAATTTGTGTCAAGAATATTAACCTATAAATAATCAATCTGTACCTCATGTTAGATTAGTAAAATAAAAAATTTCTTATAGCCTTTTTATATAAACATTGTTTTTAAGGAAAAAAAAAGAGAGAATAAAATGTCAAAAAAGGATGAAGCAAAAATCAAAATGAGTGAAAAAAAAAAAAAGATAAGATGTAGAAAGGGCAATCAATTATATTTTATTTTGGTATATTATTTTTTATAATTTTGACCGTCACGTGCTATATTTTTGTCGCCATTAATCATCACATCAGCAATAATTTTAACTGTCACGTAAACAAGTTTAATATTTAATAAATCAATCTGTCACATCATCATGTATAAACTATAAAAGGTGGAATCAGGCTGAATGGATGATATTTTCTCAATTTTAAAGTTTCTCTATTTCCTTCACCGGCGCCATTTTTCTTTATTTCTTGGTTTCTTCTTTGCATATATTATTGGCTTGTCGGAATTTGTTTTCGAAATATTATCTCCGACTCTCTCTAACCTTTCTCTTTATGATAAATCAAGCTCGCTATCCAACTCGATTTCTAACAAACTCTTCAACCAACGTACAAAAAACGATACCTAAAAAATTATTTTTATTGAAATAATTTTTTTTTATGATAATAGTTTCAATTCTGTTGGTAGTAGTTTTATTGACAAAATTTTTTGTAGGTGATAGACAAGCCAAGAATATTAATCTATTGATAATATTTGAAATTTGTTGATAACTATTTAAGAAAATTTCCTCAATAATAATTTGTTGGTAATTTGATTAGTAATCCGTTGATAAAATTTATTGATAAAAGTGTCGATAATTCGCCAGTAATTCATCGATAATTTATCAGTAATTGATTGATAATCAATCACTAAATGATATTTTTCGTTAGTGAATCATCAATATTTCATTGGAAATCCGTTGATAATGGCCTAATTTTTGTTGGTAACACTAAATTTTCATCGGTAAAATTTTAAATTCATCAATAATTTAATTAATTTTATCTATATTTTTTTAAGAAACATGTAAATAACAATTAAAACATGTATAATTATTTAAAAAGTCTATTATTTGTTTATTATTATTAATTAAAATATCAAATCCACATCATAAATTTAAAAACAATCCAAATTATCTATAACATCCTTAACATCCATAAAAATCCATTACATCCATAAAACATCCAAAAAATACATCATACAAATCCTGAAAAATGCTACTGTGATGTTGCATCTCCTTATTTAGAATCTTTGTTACCATTATCAAGTCTAGAAATTGTGTTGGTGAAAATTGTCTAAACCTCATCGATTGTATCATCTGATCCGTGAATGACCTAAGCTCAGTTCTCAACTTAGTCCTCAACTCATCAATTTGTTCTTGTTTCTAAGGCTAAGGAGGTTGAGAGGCATAGATGATGGACTACAAATAGAGTGAGATGATCTTGTTGCAGTAGTAGACTGACTTGAGTAAAGTAGGTTTTTCAATCTATCTATAGACCCAAAGCCATAAACAAAAGTATGCATAACTTTAACCCCTCCAATAGCTTCAACCCACGCCTGTGGATCGAAATCTGGATGATTGGAAGAGTTTTCACCATATGCCTGACATAATGCATTAACATAGTTTTCTTACAAAAAGTTTAAAACAATTATTATTAAATTTTATCTGTGTAGTTCAATAAAATAAGGCAACTTCAAACAATTCACAATATCAAGATTTGATTATTAAATACGTAATACTTTTCATCTTTCACAATGTGATCTCATTTTAATATGCACAAAAAACTATTTAGTCTAATATTGAATTTCTTACAATGTTTAGGCTTTCAAAAACAGAATCCATAACCATTCTAGTATACAAATTTTCTATTCTTACTTCACTCATTAGTTCAAAAGTATTTTTATTTGTTGATGGTTGTCCTATTTCTAACTTCTCATGTGAGACCCAACTTGTATAACCAATGGTAAACCTAAACCTCTTATAATAAAGGTAACTTCTCATGTGAGACCCAACTTGTATAACCAATGGTAAACCTAAACCTCTTATAATAAAGGTATTTACGCATAGCATCCGTTTTTAAAAACCTTTTATTCTCATATTCAGCATAAGGATACCTAATCTTCTCATTACTTATGAAGTATGGTTGAGAATAAGCATATCCAATAAATTCCTCCACACTATTGCAAAAGTTTTGACAAATGTATCCATTTGAAAAATAGTATCCATAACCATTGTAGTATATGAATTTTTATTCTTACTTCACTCATTAGTTCAAAGTATTATTATTTATTGATGGTTACCCTACTTCTAACTTCCCATGTGAGACCCCTTATAATAAAGATATTTATGCACAACATCCGTTTTTAAAAACCTTTTATTCTCACATTTGGCACAAGGATACTTAATCTTCTCATTGCTTACAAAATATGGTTGAGAATAAGTATATCCAATAAATTTCTCCACACCATTGTAGAAGTTTTAATGCATCCATTTACATCTAAATGAGAGTATATCTATGAGTGAAATTTTGTCCATTTTTTAACCCTAGTTGAAACATCATAAACGTCTAAAAAATATAACTCTTAGTATCTTAAATTGAAATATGAGCAATTATTACTTTGCTAAACAAAATTATCTAAATGATAATATGAGGTAATTATTGGTCTACTTTAACAAATAGTCCATTAATGACAAAAAATGTCTTACAAAAATTCATCATGCATACTACAAAACAACACCTTCACAATAGTATATTATTGGTTTCAATGAATAACTTAAATCTTGGGCTTCTTAGTGTAGTTTGAGGTATTATAGGAGATTTTCTTTAAGGTACTTCTACGTACAAAGCTTGTTCTACTTTCAAAGTCAATGGAATGAAAAATAATAAAAGTTAGTATTATGAAAAATAATAAAAGTTAGTATTATGAAAATTAATAAGAAAAAAAAATTCAATACAGAATATACATCCACCCTAAACCCAGATTCAAAACACACATTCACAAGTAGATTATGGAAAAGAAGAAAAAAAAATAAAAAACATTGATGCTCCCCTTGATGCCATACAAACGTAATTGAACAGTAACATTTTTTTTTCTTACAATCTTCTTTCTTAAATTTGATTCATTTATTTTCATGTGAATAGGAGATCGGATATTCAATATCGTGATCTCATTCCATTATATATATTTATGTTTTGTGTGGAGGCAATCGACAAATTAAGCTTAATGGACCACCAATACAATTTTAACAATACATATATTATAAAATAATAAAAATGCAAAATTCTCATTACTTACAATTTGTGATTGAATTTTGTAGCTGAATTTTATTTTACACTACTCTAGAGTTAATTATGCAAAGAAAAAAATTGATTTTCCATTATAAGCAATATATATGTTAAAATTTTACAAGAGTATAAGGTTTCAATTAATTATAAATTTGTTAATTAATTACAACTTTTCTCTAAAATATGAGTATTTGATTTAGCCATATATGATTACTAAGGTCAGGACTTTAATTTAGATTAAATTAGGGTTTAGATTTAATTTAAATTACTAAGGTCATGACTTTAATTTAATTTAATTTAATTTAAATTTAGCCAATTTAAACACATGTCTCACTTTAATTTTATCTAAATGCAACCTTAATCCAAAATATTAAATCTCTCTTGAGCCAATGAATTACAACCTTAATCCAACCTTAATAAAAAATTACAACCTTAATCTAAAATATTAAATCCCTCTTAAATCATAGCATAACCTTAATATAGAAATTAAAATCTAAATCCCATTCAAACAAGATAACAATCAAACAAGAAAACAAAAAAGTTGAACCATAATCTCTATCAAACAAGATAACAAAAAAGTTGAAAAATCAAATGGATTACCAATGGTGGAGAGGATGGCAACAGTGATGAGAGGACTAAACGGACATGCAACGACTTGGAAGCATGGTGGAGAGATGCGGTGGAAAGGGGAGAGAGAGAGATTAGGGATTTGAAAATGGAGATTTGGGTTTCATGATTTAGGGATTAGGGCATTTAAATTTTTTTCAATTTCCGACAGATTACCTATAGAAATATTTTTGTTAGTGATCGGCCACTTTAAAATTTTTTTTCCGAAAATTTTTT